CAGGAATTGGGGCCCTTCAGAGTCAACTCTAACGGAAAAAATTTGTTCCTCAACAAACATGCTTGGAACAATGGTGAGATATGACTTAATTGTTTGTTTTTGGAGTATTTATGTTAATGGGCTTATTTTCAAGACTTGAATATGATCTGGTGTTGATGAATATATGCAGTGGCAAACGTGTTGTTCTTGGAATCACCAGCTGGAGTAGGCTTTTCTTACTCAAACACTTCTTCAGACTATGATCGAGCAGGCGACAAGTTTACAGCGAATGATGCACGTATGTCTTCCTCATCAATTGGCTTGAGAGGTTTCCACAGTACAAATCCAGAGATTTCTTCATCACTGGAGAGAGATATGCTGGTCATTATGTGCCCCAACTTGCTTACGCCATTTTGGTCCAAAATAGAATCCAGGGACGAACCATTATTAACCTCAAAGCCATTGCCGTATGTTCATCCTTTTAACGACAAACCATCTGTTATGACACACTTAATTACCATCAAGTTTCATCTAACTTGCTATATTTGTGATGAAATCTCAGCTAGGGAATGCTTGGGTTGATGATGAAACAAATGCAAAGGGAAGATTCGATTACTTATGGACTCATGCTGTAATCTCAGATGAAACCCATGCAATTATTGATATGAACTGTGACTTTGCTTCTGGTAATGTTTCAAACGTATGTTTCAATGCAACAAAAAAGGCTTTTAAGGAGAAAGGGAATATAGATTCGTACAACATTTATGCTCCACTCTGCCATGACACTTCACTCAGAAATGGTCCACCTGGTTCTGTAAGTCTTCCTGCATATATTCATTCAACTTGTTATTAGCAATATCTTTTCAATTATTTTATTGACATTTCCAGGTGGACAATTATGATCCGTGCTCTAATTACTCCGTGAATGCCTATATGAATAACCCAGAGGTCCAACTAGCCCTCCATGCACTTCCTACAAACTGGAGTCATTGCAGGTATAATGCTCCCTCAAGTTATTTTATAAGTTAAAAGCAATAAATGTATAAAAACAAATATATTTTTCTCAAATATGCCCTCATTTGGACAGGGTGATGAGAGAGAGGATGGGTAGGAAATTGTTATAAGTAATATAGAGACATATAATTAAGGGATAAAGTCCAATTTTACTCTGAAGGTACTCGTTCGGGAGCTGTAGATATCTGAAAGTTTTTTTTAGAAACAATATTGCTGCAGAAACGTACAAAGTGTAGCAATGTTGCTCCCACCGTTGAAGTATTTATTTTGACCGTTAAGTTTGACTAGCATCTTAGGTGGCACTGCCACCTCACCACTACTATGTTCCACCTAGCCCATTCCTTTCCTCTCTCTCTCTCTTTCTGATGAACCGCCGTCGATTCTCTCTCATATTCTCCTCACACTCACACCATGCTTCCCTTCTCAGGCTTACCCACCAATCTCTCTCACCCTTCTCACTTTTGATTGTTTAGAAGGAATGGCCGACGATGGATACCAGAGGATCTTCCATTTTCAGCCGCGAGTGAAGGCATTAAATTTCCTTGCTTCTATTACTTTGTAAGAAACCCGTTTTTCCTGTATAGATCCGTGGACCATGAAACTCAAAACATCCTGAAACTCCATGTTTTTGCCATTGTTGATACTTTCAAAGGTTCATGACAGAGAAATAAGGGCGGAATTATAAAAAATTCAAAACTTTAACGTCATCAGATAGTAATCTCAGAACGTTTTATGAGACTGGTTTTCAAAGAGCCATGGGCATTAGATTAGCTACTAATGATAACATGCTTGTAGTTCTTCTCCTGCCAAGACTCAAAGGACGAAATATGCGAAATAATCAGCTTGGTGAATAGCTAGATCTGATGAACAAGGAAAAGATGTCAGATTGATTTTATATGCAGGGGATGGCTGATCTATTTCAAATTTATTGTTTAAAAAAAAAAAAAAGCACCCATTACATCTCCCACCTCCCACCACAATTTCTGCCTTCCACTTCCATGCTTTCCATTTCAAATCTATTTTTAGGATTAATAGTTGCGGGGACAATGTGTTATACTCTCAACATAGGCTAGTTGCTGAGCAACCCAAGTGTCAAACACGTCTTAAACAAAACTGCTCATCATCATCCACGTCTTCCCTTTCATGTGGCGTCACCTCGTTGGTTTCAAAGAAGAAGCCGAGCTTGCTGGCGGGGAGGGGGAGCCAGTGGAGGAGGGGCGAGAGAGATTGATAGCTTAGCCTGAGGAGGGAAATACGAAAAGAATCAAGGTTGCGTTTGATAGGAAGCATTGAAAATAAGAGATTGGGATTGAGATTACAACTGAGAAAATTTATTAAGAGAATATTTAGTATAAGAGATTATTTATTATATGGGATTAGTCAAAGCCATGTATGTGGGATTAGAGAATACCATGGGAAAAAGTGGTATTCCCCAATCCCACTTTTATGAGTTTGCCTAATCCCATATAACAAAAAATTACTCATGCTAAGTACTATTTTAATGATTTTTTTTAATTCCAATCCCAATCCCAATCCCTCGTTTTCAATGCTTCGTATCAAATGGGACCCAAGAGTAAGAGACAATCCGTGGTGTTTCATCATAAGAGAGGGAAGAACAGGAGGAATTAGGTGGAACATAATAGTGAGGTGGCATTAAGATCTCAGTAAATTTTAACAGTCAAAATAAACACTTCAAATGGTGGGAGCAGTATTGTTACATTTTCTATACTTTTAGGACGGCATTGTTTTTAAAAAGAAAACTTCTGATTACCCATAGCTCTTGAGTGAATAGTTCTGAGGCAAAATTAGATCTTATCCCTATAATCAATTAGGATAAAAATGGTAAAAAAAAAAAGTATTAAAATTTTAGACATCTGCAAAGTAAAACTTATAGGAAGAACCAGATTTATTTAAAAAGTTGTAACTTAAAAAAGGAGCGGAGGAGCGATATGATTGATTTTTTATTTAGAAGGAAATAGGAAAAGAAAAACTCTGTTTCTTGAGTTAAATGAGCAAGCATGCATGTATTAATATATCATATGCACCTATGTGCAGGGCATATCACTGGAAAGACCAACCTAGTACGATCCTACCCATCATCAAGTATCTCATCACAAGTGGCATCAGAGTTTGGCTCTACAGGTAACTTCCATTTTCATTACAAGTGTTAATCTTGTTCAGATCTCAATAACCAGGAGAAACTGCTGAAGATCCAGCTTCACAAAAATATGTTATGAAAAAGTTTTTGCCAATCCTATATGATTTGTGTTTATTTGAGCAGTGGGGACACAGATTGTGTTGTACCAGTCACATCTACAAGGTACTCAATCAACCGTCTTAACCTTTCGGTTGAGGTTCCATGGCGACCTTGGTACTCGGGAAATGAGGTATTCTGATAAACCATTTTTGTCACCTTAACCCTCTGCTATTCTCTTTTCCAGTCCCTTAGCCCCACTGAATCGAATTTGAGCATTATTTCTAACAGGTTCATGAACCTTTTGTTACGATTGATTTACAGGTAGGAGGATATGTGGAGCAATACAAAGGAGTAACATTTGTGACAGTGAGAGGAGCTGGCCACGCTGTTCCTAGTTGGCAACCAGCAAGGGCCCTCACCCTCTTCACTTCATTCCTCAAACACTCTCTGCCTCCTGCTTCACCATGGCCATAGACATGGCTTTTCAGCTCCATCTGACCCACCCGAGCTGACCGGCTTATTTTGATATCTTTCTAAGTTATAATAGTTGTTTTCTTAAATAAAAAGACTACTGTCTCTTAACTCAGTCGTACTCGAATGTAAGTTTCTCTTTTTTTAAACAATAAATGTAAGTCTCTTAATGTGACTAAAAACATGTTAAATTGTAAAAGTACTTAATTTTCCCCTTATACCCATTTAGTTGGAAAATTCAAGATCTACTATATAGAATTATTATATCATTAATCATAAATAAGCACTCAAACATAACTGGGTTTACAAAACACAGGTCTGCTTAAATGCTAAATGTCAAGCAAGCCAACATCTAATGACAAGCCAAAACTTTGAAAAGTATGCAAGTTTCTGTTATCACAAGACTAGTTAATAACCTGATTACAACAAAGACTCAAATTTAGCTAGTGTTTGGATAGAAACCAAACCATGGTTTTAGAAGTGCTTTTATGGTACAAAGTAAATATGTGGAGGAGTTTGTCTCGTTTTGCGGAAAAGTGCTTCTGAAACCATAATTTGGAGGTTGCCAAACACCCCTTGAGTTAAGAGACAGTAGTCTTTTTATGTTTTTATCAAACTTGCAGCTTGACTCTCCGAGTTTAAACTTACAGCTTGACTCTCCGAGTTTAATGTTTTTATGTTTTCAAGTTGCAAAAACATGTTAACTCATTCTTAAACTCATGCTATCTATAAACTTGATTAAACTTACGAGTATATTTATCAAGTTTATCATTTTTATATTTTTAGTTTATTAAATCATATCAACTTATTCTTAAACTCATGCTAAATTTTTTAAATTGATTATATTTAGTGACTTTATATATAAAATTCATAAAAATTTGTTGAATATGATAAATTAAGAATGCTGATAAATTTAATTTTAATTATTTAAATTTGAAATATATTTAAATAAAGTTGTTGTCATTTTAATTATTTAATTATATATTTTAATGTCAATTTATTATTAGTAAAAATAAATTCTGAAAAGTTTACTATTCGAGTTTGCAATCAGAGTTTAAATTCTTATCATGAGTTTGAAGGGTGGTAAGCTTTTGTTGCGCCAAGTTTTGAGGCAAAACATGTTGCAGTAGTATAGATGAAACAGCTAACAGAAACATGACATCTTCAAAATCTTTCACGGATCCTCTAAATCCTTGTGTTGGGACTTCCAAATGAGAATTGCCTACAGTCGAAATTTACCGCAGCCATACCAGCCCCCTGCGCCCACAGCCCCCAAGTCAAGTGTACACGAGGGAAGGCCCAAAAAATAACAAGAAAAGACAGCTAAAGCAGCAGCAGCTAGCGAAAGAAGATGGCTCCATTATTGGGGTTTGACACGTTACAAGAGATTTAAACCAGGTTCACCCCCAACCCCATAAGGAAAAACGAATACAGGGAAACAATGAAAGGGAGAGGAGCAGATGATACAGTACATATTTTACTTTATTTACAACAGGAACACGATGATTCAGAGCCTCCCTCACTGGCCAACTTATAGCTCCGTTCCCAAGTATCTGTAGGAGCAGCATCAGCATGTGGAACATGACGAGGATTTTTCTCTCTCTTGTCTCCCCTGAGCTGCTTTAAAGCATGCTTAAGTGCCGGCAATAAAGCTTCCATACACTCAGCAACAGCATTTGGATTTCCCGGCATGTTAATGATCTGAGCAACAGATTAAGGACCATAATTTAGCCTGTGTATACCCACTCCTTAAGACAGAACAATCATGCTTGCATCAACATACGTTACTATTTCAGCTTCACTACTATAATACCATTGCCTAACTAGATGCAACATAAAAGAAATGAGGACGAACTTGGGAGAATAAAACATGTATACGCAAGAACTAAATAACTGGAGATTGTAATTCATGACATTATACAAGCTAATATAGCATGTTAATAAAAGCAACGATGTTTGCGCATGGGCAAGAAGGACCAGATGTTTGGCTGACATTTATAAAGTTCAGTATGAAAGTGCCATGAAATATTAGGTCATTCAGTGAAAACATTGTAAAGATGACACGTAAATAGCAACATTCGTGAAGCACTGAAGCAAAACCGTCAAATTGAGAAGGGAACTTTGGTCACAACAGCATGAGTTTCAATATTATTTTCTTCTATACACTTATCCTTGATAAAAAACGTACAATATAATTTTCTTCTTTTTCTTACCAATGTCGAGCCTCTGATTCCAGCTGCAGAGCGTGATAGCATTGCAAATGGGGTCACCTATTTTACAAATAAAGAAACCAATGAAAAAGGATACTTAACAACTTACTGCAACAATTCAAGTGACATAAACCAAATAGCGAATAGGCAAATAACTGGATATTAATCCAAAAGCTTTGACAGCTGAGAAGTGGGCCCAAGAATACAAAGAGTCAATATACAAAAGCATGTCTTAAACTTCTTCTCTGAAATAGAACCGAAATGAAAAAGAGAGACAGCAATTCAGAGTGATAACAGAAAAGAAATGCATTAGAAACCAGGTATATTACTAGGCTCTAATACTTTATTATCATTCAGTAACTAGCTTTTCATTGTATATCAAAATTGACAAGGTTAGAGTAAACCCTGTATAGATTATTAACAGGTTTAAAAGTCAGAATTTAAATTATAGATTCCTCTCATTTCCACAGGTCAAATTAACGAGAGGCCTTCTGTTTCCTGGCATTTGAGCTATGAGACTAGTGGCCAAAGTGAGACGGTTCAATAGATTCGAGATCAAAATAGATCAATCATAAATGACGAATAAAGAATAATCAACTTCTTTTGAAGCGATTTGTGATTTTACTGATGCTTGAGAGCCTTGACTGATGAGCCTAAAGCTGCTATAGCTATAAAATTAAAGTTACAGATTAGTGTAAATGGAACTGAAACTGAGTGCCCCCAGCAACTGTTTATACAGTGCGAATGGTTATTCATCACTTAAGCATATTTGGTGATGGCAACAAATCAGCCCTTCTCATATGAGTTTGGCTCAATGTGGGTCCTGTTCAGCATACTGGATTAATAAAGCAAATCTTTAAAATGTCACTGATTAGACTGGCGGATTTTCTATAATATTTTTGTTTGATGAGAGTTTGAATGTCTCCCTCTCAACTATAGTATGCCAAATGGAAAGCTTTTTTCTCCTTCCATGAAATAAGCACCTAGGAAACCTTAAAGGCTCCAGTTGGTTTTAGTGACATATAGAGCAGCTCTAGTCATGTAAATTTCTGCTGGCAGGTCTATAAGTGTTGACTGGTATTACACCATTTACATACCAAACATAGGCATCTAAGTTGCCAAGGAATCTAGCATACCAATGTTGAAATTCCAGCCCAGATGCTCAAATTCTATAAAACACTTAGGACCGCACTAGTAACAAGGTAAGAAAATCAGATATAACAAGAAACAAATATAATCAAATCTCTAATCAACATATCCATAGTTGTACCTTTAAACTCTCTTGCATCATTACATGCAAAAGACCAGGTGTTTCTTTTTCAATCAACGGTTTTGTAGCTTCTGGTGTTACATCTCGCATGGTAAAACCCGTTCCACCTTGATTGGAAAGAAAATATTAAAGGTAGAAGAAAAATAAGGAAGTCAGCTCAACAAAATTAGGAGTCTTTTACATTCATTAAAGAAACTGATTCATTGATTAATGATGTAGAACAATACCAAGAGTGATTACAAGATCCATTTTTTCAACATCGCTCCATTGCCTCAGAATGTTCTGGATTTTTGCCACTTCATCTGGGACCACAGCTGTTTCTACTACTCTCGCCCCCCCTAACCTTTCTGAAGAGGAATTAATGACAGAAACTGCCCTGGGGCCACTGTATAAATAAATAGGAGTTAGTAGACATTGAAGTTTGCAAACACCACTATGACCTATATGTCTTCTCCAGTCACCTCTGAAAATTGAGTGACATCTTGAAAAGGCCTGTAAAGAATTCATGAATATTATTGAATTGCACTGACATGCATACAGACCAGAGGATCCACGAGAAAGAAAAACATCTAACTAATGACAAAATAACTGCACAACAGACATATAAACGGAATTCCTTGACTTCAGACGTTCTTCCTTTGAGACTGTCGCAAAACACTCAGTGCTTTCAACATCCACTTTGACATTGACTAATATCAAGTTTGCCCGTTACTTTGGCATCGACATTGTGACCTCTTTGAAACAATGATTCAAAAAGGCGTATCCTGATGCCAGAAAGATTTAAACTAGAGGGAGAAATCATCCAAGATTTTCTAGCAGCAAGGCTTAAACCATTGAAGTAATCAATCACTCCTTTATTTTAATATCCACAAAAAAGAAAAAAGAGAAAAATCCTCCATTTGGTTCATGAAGTACAATAGATGCACTCAATGTAAACACCGGCATTGGAAATGCACTCAGTTGGATAATGTACAAAGCCGTTCAGACTGCAGACAATTTATAAACTTCTGATGATTCAGGCTGATACTATGAAAAAGTCTTTGAACTGCTCAGCCTACTTTAGAAAGCAAGTTGAAGAAGGCTATGAAAAAGTCTTTAGTCCTCATCTCCTACTCTGTGTGCCAGACTGTGCACCCACATAAAATATAAACAAGACGACCAATACCTTCTATCAGGTCCAGCCCCTGTAGCAACAGTGTCACTTACTGTAAGAACAGCAACTCTAAATTCAGCATCACTTGGCCTATCCACAATCATTTTATGTGATTTATTTCCCGGTATAGCAAAATTTGAATTTGATGGCATATTATTCCAGCCGAGAGCCACAGGTTTTAGATCAGAAATTACAATAGCTGATACGAGGCTCCCAGCCGAAATTATACTGCCTGTTGCTGGCAACTCCAAAAATGCATTAGCTGACTTCATACTCAGTAATCGACTGCTCATCTGATGACCAGTACTCTCAGCCACAAAGCTGAAATTCAAGAGCAGACCAAGCATTTCATCATTTTATTAATGCATTTTTAATGCAGTCATCATATCAAGGAAATTTCATCAGATGCATCTTTCTTAAATCATAGGTATTAATTGTAAGTCATTGCCCCACCCTATCACAATCCCCTTCCCACAAAACACGCACACAATGGAGAGAAAAGATCCATGCGAAGATTGTAGCAGACTGAGGAAAAGAAAATCACCAGCAACTTACCCAGGATTTCCAGTCCCATCATTGTCAGTCCATGTAACAATAGCTCGATGATATTCTGGTCGAGCCAGGTCTGTCTTTATTGGCTGACGAAGCCGAGCTTTTATACTGTACAAAAATGAAATAGAATAAATCAAAGAGAAAGGAAACAGGCCACTAACTCAATGTCAAATATATAACCAACAGAAGTTTTGCAGGATTATGTGACCTCAGATGATGAGGGTTAGTCCATCCTGCAAGGCTGCGTATCACAGGGACTACAAAGAGATGGAAACACACTAGAGAGCTGACAGGATTTCCAGGCAACCCAAAAGCTAGAATTTTATTTTCGGCTGATCCAAAGACAATCTCGGCAAATGTCAATGGTTTCCCTGGTTTAATACACACCTGAAAGAGTGATAAACACTAAAATTAATATGGCATATTTACAAACCCTTAGCTACAGAGCATTAGAGAGAGAAATCCTTATATTCTTGCCAACTACTGCATAAGGATTGCATCCATGACCCAGTTTACATGATATTACTATTACTAATAACCTCAAATAGAAGCAAGACGCAACCTTACTGAAATGTACTTTTCCCCTCTTCTCAAGCAAGGGCTTAATAAAATCTTTGTCTCCCATGGAAACACCACCTGAAGTTAGAAGAATATTAATTCCAGAAGCAAAAGCATCATCCAAGATCCTTCCCAGACCTTCTTCATCATCCTTTGCAATACCAAGGTCTAGAACTTTGCACTCAAGCTGTATCGCCGCTGCCAGTAGCATGGCACGATTAGAGTCCCTAATCTGCACAACTTCTATATCAGCTTACATTCAGTACTAAAATCACCAAGCAACTTCTTGAAATATGCCACAAGTTCAGACAAAAAGCCCACAAATGGATAGCTAAAGCATGGGGATTTGTCAACGGAAGAAAAAAGGGTACAGAGATGCAATTGATAAAATAGCATTGAGGAAGAAATATACATCCAAAATTTAGTAACCAAACTACTTACAGAACAGGTTTTACCCTTAACATACTCACCCTGGAGTGGTTTTATGAGCTTTGAAATTCCATGCCAATTGTATGCTACAAATTTTACAAGGATAACTAAAACAACATTGTCTAGCATACCAAACGTCTTGTGAGGAGTTCAGTAATATGTCAAATATCCCCAATCCCTCTAAAAGGCCACCAATCCCTTACATACTAAATGTGGAGTAGCTTTCCTTGGGTTCAGAGGTATCATCTACACACAGAGAAGGACATGTTTTGGACAAGGAGTATCTTGTTCTGCGTTCAGTCATTATTTATTAAAAATATTAATTGCAGCAACTGTTATCCAATATCCAGGATGGTGTTGGGCCGAGCACACATAAGCACAAACGAAGGGGAAAAAATGAATTGCAATAAGAAAGAGCATACTAAAGATAAAGTAGTTTGCTTTGAATCCAGCAGTATTCTTCACATATACATATTGATAAAAAAACACACATTAAAAATAATAACGAGAAAGTCATCTTATCTGGTAAATTTGTGCCAAATGTGTTTTTTTCCCCTTAATATAGCACGAGTGTAAAAGCCACAAGGACTTATCTTAGAACCTCATCGTCACCTACACTTGAGAACTACTAGCATCCTCAGTAGTCCATTTATTATAAATTAAGAAAGATATTATAAATCTTTAGCCAATTAATCATATATTATGCAAGTCTTTCTCTTCCACAAAAGTACCTGACCACGGCTCAGATTCCCAGTAGTTGGCTCTACAAGTTCATCTCCTGTAGAAAGCACAGCAACAGTTGGAGTAGGATACACCTGCAAAAAGCCATTGTTACTCATCATTTCATCATCTGATCATAATATTAGAACATGAACATGTGACAGGACAATTCAAAGTATCTCCAGCCAATGACTGAAACCAAACTATATGCATTTATGCAGGAGATGCTTATTTAGTCACAGCATCCAGGAACTGTCCAAAAGAAAATCAAAAGAAAATCAAAAGTTTCTTAATATCAAACTGAAGAGAAGTTTTAAGATACCTTCACAATTGTCACACCAACTGTAGCAAGCAGCCCAATCTCTGAAGCACCTAATCTTTCTCCAGATGCCAAGACTATGGTGTCTTTCTGAATATCAAGACCCTGCCAATATATTATTAGACAGGCTTAAGAATTTAACAAAATATAAAATAAATCATCTACCAGAGCAACATGAGGAACGATTTTTTTTTCCTCCATGAAGAAAGTATTGAGGGGCCCGTACATGGTTTTTTAATACATCTCTTTATAAAAAAAAAAAACAAAAACAAAAACAAAAGAAAGTATTGGGGAAAAAAAACCTTAAAAATTGTAATCAATAGGTGGGTTATATAGCATTAATACTTATGCCTTCAATGCGCTCCATATGATTTTTTTTTTTTTGAGTTGGACTCCCCCGGTGTCCCAGGCCAATGCCATCTTTCAGGCTTTTCAACGGGCCCAGACTAATCCGGAGCGGCACCTGTGAAGGATCCCCTAACGGATGGCTTGCCTACCACCTATGCTACTGCGTTCCCAAACGAGATCGAACCCCTGACCTTGGTTAAGCTAGAACGACCTCACAGCCAGTCGATCTAAGCGTTCGGTGGCGCGCTCCATATGATTTTATATGTTCAGAAATCATAGTTAATTTTTCATGCGCATAGCAATCATGAGTGTACGTCAGCCACTCAATAAAGAATATATATCAGACATATTTATAAAAATCATAAATGAAAAGTTAACAACTGATAATAGAAAATGGGGAAAAAATAGATAGGAGATTGGGTTTCTTTTCTATTAAGATTTTTAATTTCTTGTGTTATTCTTTTTTTTTTTTTAGGTTCTATTAAAGGAAGCCAAATTCTCCACCTCTGTAACTCTCAACTCATAACTAAATCACTATTTTATCATCCAAAAATAATTTAGATGTCTTTTTTACAAGAGATTATGCATTGTGATGTTAACTAATTAAAATAACAACCATTTTAAAGGAAAAACCAAGAAGTTGTTGGTTATGCGTAAAATTATGTTCCTGCAGACATTAGATGGAAAAGTAAAAGAACTTAATGATGTTGGTTAATATGATGTTTAGTACCTTATATTTTCACTTGAAATAATGAAATGTGCGACTCTACAAGTTCAACTGTTGGGACTTGGAGACAGAGCTTTGAATATTATGAGGACCATGAATGGAGCCAAAAGATAGAATCAATAATGTTGAGATGTTCAGCTCAAACTAAGAGGGGAGGGGGGATTCTAATATGACCAGAGAGTAAAACCATAAAGTGATAAGTAGACCATATACAAAAAAGGGATATCAACAAACATACCACTGGCCGTATATCATTGCCTTTGGCGGTTTTTGCCAATATTCTCACCCGCTTTGGCTCATCCAAAGCATTCTCAACTTTTTCAGTATCCTCAACCTGAACAACTGCATCAGCACCATCAGGTATTGGACCTGATTCAAGAGAATAAATGTTAGAAAAGGAATCTCAAACAAAAGGATCTCACCCAGACAGAGAAAGATAAAATCATTCAGTTAACACCAAGCAGTCCAAGCCTGATCCAGATAACTTCTAACCAAGCCCTCGGTAATCTATAAATGACCAGAAAACATAACAATAGGTTCTTTTCCAAGACACCACAAACACAGCCATCAACTTCGAATTACCCAAACGTTTTCCTGTCTTCTCTTTCCAAAATATTCCGTACAAAAAACTTTAAAGAAATTCCACATCCACTTGAACAGTGACAGTAAATTCAAAGAGGAGAAAAAACTTCTTGGTCTAGGAAAAAGAAAAGTAAAATCAAATAATGGCTACTACAGTGTTATAACTCATGAGTGTACCAGGGACTGTTTCATGTATCGTATGCTCCCCATGAATAAAAAATTTCTTTCCTTTCATATTCTTTTAGGAAGAGAGCAGGGCATGCACTGTAACACATTACACATCAGAACCAACAAACCTCCAGTTGTCACATAAGCCACGGTGCCAGGAGTCACAGTAACACCAACACCATCGTTCCCAGCTCTTGATTCAATAATTACCGGATATTCCCCCGGCCCATCAGCAGCAACCACTGCATAACCATCCTGCAGTAGTTTTGATTGTTGACTGTGATGAAACTCTTCAAGTATTTCATATTAAAGGGGGGGGGGGGGGGAAACCTTTCGCACAACCCATATCGATTCTCTCATTAGTGAATTAAGAAAAGGTGAAAAGCAGTCAAATTAAACATTTTACGCGAAACATATCAAGCATCCAAATGCACGTTTGTCAGATTATAAAAGAAATGTTGCCACTTGAGGAGATAACGACAACTAAAGTTCATATATTCATCGAATCAGAAAGCTCTATAGCAATATTTGGAGGCAAAGACTAAAACATATCAAGGACCCAGTTGTTGATTTGACAAATAATAAACGGAAAACCGCAAGTTCAAAATCAGGTAAAAACAAAGTTGACCTTCACCGAAGCTGGGTAAGGAGGCAAAGGGTCTGGAGCCCGAACATCCTCGGCCAAAACCTTGCCCAAAGCATCAACCAGAGGTACAGTGACCGGAGGAAGACGCTTGGAGGCATTAAGGACTATGTGAAGAGCGTCGTTCACCGAGATCATCGTCGTAGGCGCGAGTAAGTGACCGGGACAGCCAAGGGTGATATTGTTCTATTGATGATTAGAAATGAATGATCTGGTTCTAAAGTCACTGTTACGGGACGTTCGTCATCTTTGTTTCTAGTGCTTCAGGCTCTTTCTGCGCGTAATTGCTTACACATTGCCTAATAGTAGTAGTTAATACATATTTGACTTTGCAGTTACGAAGTCAACCCCTTGGGAATAAGTTGGGATAGATCAATCTCTACAATGTAATCATTTTCTTTTTGGAATAAGGGAGATTCAGCACCTCAAATTATTTTCTAGATTGCATTTAGCACTCTAAAGTATTTTGTAGTACGTTTAGCACCGCAAAATATTTTTTAAGAGTCCCCAGTATCCTGAAGTATTTTTTTTGTCCTGGTACTAGATATATCAAAAAATATTTTTAAGTGTTGGATGTAACTAAAAAATATTTTGAAATGTTAAATACACCACAAAATACCCTGCATCTAAGAAAATATTTTAAAATGCTGGATGTACCATAATTACTTTAAAGTGCTGGATGCACCTGAGAAAAATATTTCTCAGACATAAGTGCACCTTTTTTTTTTTTGACTGGGAAACTTTGTAACTATTTTTTTTTATAATAAAAGTTGGGCGTCATTGCCATACCTTTGGTATAAAATTTGATTGATGATGTTTTCAACTTTTCATCGCTTGTTGGGACCTTATAAATTTCTCTCAGAAGATACCACCCCATTATGAGATATAAGCCATTTAAAAAGTTCTTATCGGAAGAAAAATGGGCAAACTTATCAAAAAAGAAAAATGGGCAAAGCCGCAGACTCGAATATCATTCATATTAATCAGTCTTGGGCACTCAACACCCATTACATCCCTATATAGAAACATTTGTAAGTCTTTGGTTGTGTCACACCGAAGCTGCAGGCAGGAGCTTGAAAAAAAACTCCAGTTAGCAATCCAATATATAAAAACATTTCTGGCTGATACAAAAATCAGACGAAAGATGAACAACAGCAATAGAGTCCGACTCAACAATTACATTTGTGAACCCTGTGGTAGCAAGAAAGTAAAAACTACATATAAGAACCCAAAACTCCGCGGATATAGCTGTACATATGCCTATGCACAAAACCACCCCGCCATCCTCCCTTCTCGTTCCTCACCATACCTCCACCCCACTACACGGCCTTGCTGTCCTGTTGCAGTTCCATCAACATTCAACTTTGAAATAATTTGAATAGCTTTTCGTTCGTAATTTATGAGAATTTAATCCTTATTTAAATTCTCATAAATTCAAATTATGAAAAAAAAAAGAACTTTAATAAAAATTAAAATTAAAAAATTTTATGAATTCAAATTGGTTATCTATTTGACTCATGAGCTTTTTCCCCTTGCTACCTGGGCTCCTTTTTTAAAGTTACTTATATTTCATTGTGTTAATTAATTTATTTAGTTTTAAATTTTTTAAATTAATTAATTGAGTTTTATATTATCAAGAGAACGGAGCATAAAGTATGGATGTATAAAAAAAACGTTTTAGTTGGACAGTCAATTTCTTCTCTTTTAACAATAACAAGGAGAAATAATGAAAAAAGAAGTTGTAAACTACTACCTCCGTTCCTAATTATAAGACTCAGTTGACTTATTTGAGGAGATTAAGGAAATAAGTTAAGTTAGTTATTTGTAATAAATAAGTGTTGTCATTCCTAAAATATCCTTACTAATTAAGTTTTTTGGCTAGAACTATCATTATTAGAAGGACTATCTTGGAAAAAAATACATAAATATGATAAACAAAATGGATTGGGGTCTTATAATTAGGACCAAACAAAAAGTCAAACGGGGTCTTATATTAAGGATCGGAGGTAGTATTGAATTCTAAATAAGGTTTGGTAACAACATTTTATTTAGTGTTTGCAGTAATAAATTTACAAATGCCTAAAAAATTTTTGTAAATATTTCTCATGCGTATTTAGTAATTTTTAATTTTTTTTAATTATTTTTCCTAACAACAACAATGTTAGCCATAAAACAGCAATAATAATAATAATAATTTGGGGGGGTTTTTTAAAGACAGCACGGAATCAGTTCCGGGCTCCCATTCTCCTTCAGGCCTCGCTTCTCGCCTCCGTCAGTATTGCCCTCTCCCCGCCGCCGTCGAAGTCCATGGTGAGATCTATTTTCTATGGTCGGCGTCGTTGGGCTGACTTCAAATGTGCTCCGTACTTTAGCTGCATACTGACATTCTCTAATTCGTCTGGAAGGTGTTGTAGTTTTGATCCTGCGGAGCTTCATGGGTTATCTTTCGTATGGCAGACACGCTCTTCAGCATATTATTAAAAATGCTCACCCTAAGAGCTCTTCTCATACTGTGGTTAACCCACTGCTATACGCTTGTCAAGGACTTAGATACAGGAAACTGGAAGTCATCCTCACAACGGTGAAGTTTTTACTCTTTTGTGGTTTAATCCTGCATCTTTACTATCAAGTTCTCTAATTAAGCATGGCAAGTGTTTGTTTCTAGTAATAATATGATAAGTGTATGCTTTTTACACCTTGAACATCATATGTTTGGATAATCTCGTTTTGAATTCAATTAAACACTTCTCTTAATCTGTGTACCCTCCCTATTTCTGTGGATGCGGCCACCGCAATTTTAGGATATAGATAAGCTAGGAGAGGCGGGTGAGACGGTGAAAGTTGCTCCTGGATATTTTCGCAACCACCTAATGCCCAAGCTGCTTGCCGTGCCAAATATTGACAAGTTTGCTTATCTTATCAGGGAACAGCGCAAGGTTTTCTTCTTCTTGAACTGATCTCACCACAAATTGATATTTGTATCCTGAACTTTACGATATAGTCATTCGTCATTGTGAATGTTTAACTTTACTGTTCTTGAAATGATCCAAACAAATATTCATCAATGCAAAGATTTATTGATGTACTTAGTGTATGGATTGCTGATTGCTGATTAAGATTACTCTTGTGGTACCTCGGGTCAAGGAAGTTACTAAATTACTTAATTATAGCATACTCTTTAAAATACTTACATGTATTATTAGATCATATATCAATTTATAAGAATGGCAAATTAGTTTGAAGAAAAACGATAAGTATAAATACTTTAATCTATTAACTTCTTTAATATCCACAAATAAGTCAGCTATATCTTATATTAAGGACTAGAGGCAGTACTTTTTACAATCTTCTTAAATGAGTTGTTATATGTCCCCAGTTTTCTGTCACCTATCTGCTACTGGAAAGTGCATGTTTTCTTTTTCTTTTCTTTTTTTGTTAATTTTTTTTTTAATTTCTTCTTATAAAGCTCAATGACATTGAATGATTTATGTAGCTCACTTCATTTAGCGTGGGATAATGCTTATTGTTATAGTTTAAAAAGTTCGTGTATTTTTGGTGGATTTTTATTTTACCTCATATGTACATGTACCTTTGTGAAGTATAGAGTGATTATGGTTTTTCCTTGTGGTACTGACAGCTGTTTATTGGCGTGGTTTCTCCTTCTTCTTCTTTTTCCCTTTTAGCTTGAAACTGAGTGAAGTAAACTGCATCAATAAAAGTTGAGGAAGTCATTATTCTATATACAATTTGTTTTCTTCTGCAGAGGCTCTTAGATTGGTTTTAAGCAGAAATGAGATTGACTTATAAATAGTACAACTTCTTGTCAATTTTCTATCATATATATAGATTTGGTTACTGTTGTTATATGCATGAGTGCATGTATCTCAACCGTTAAGTGCAGTGTACTTGAGCTAATTTTTGTCATTTTAAGTGAAAACTGTATTCAAGCTGCTATGCTCCTTAGCTTTTCCCCCTGTCTTTCACATCACTGACTAGCAGTTTCTTGTTATTGATTGTTCAGATCTATCAACCTGTTGCTGGAGAAGAAGAAGAAAAAAAAGAAGTAGTTAAAGTATCTGAAGATTCAAAAGAAGTTAAGATGAGAGAATATGAAAAGGCAGCAGTACGCCTCACTAAAGCTAAGCTGGTTTGTAGCTTAACCTTCAGATCTTTTCATCACTGATTGAGGTCATGTCTATTATTATGTTTTTCACATAATTTTTCTTCCCTTGATCACATCGGCTTTGTGTTTGTTATTCACATTTGTGATTATGGGGAAAATGAACTGTTATTTTTATCACAAGGAAATGTATTTCTTTTCATATGGAGTTGGATGTTCTGATATACTAGGTCTTGCGGAGGTTCATTGATGCCCAAAAGGCACAGGCACGTGAAAAGAAAGATGATCCCCTGGAATTGCGTTCAGCTGTGACGAAAGATGATATTGTGGCTGAGGTAATAGTTTGTCTTCATGAAAATAACATTTCAGTCTGCTAAGCATATTTTTCGTTGTACAGTCAATCAGTGCTGTGGTGCTTTCTACCTTTGTAGGTCATAGAAATTAAAACTTGGAAATATAGGAAGGCTGACCCTGGATTCCTACCTATTTTGGATAGACCACTAGTACTGTATCATTGTTACATTTATTCGTTGAAGAAGAAACTAGTGGCATCTCCATATAATCCTTTCAATGGAAAGGCGGATTGCTGGGAGTACAGTGAGGGGAGAACCAAGAAATAAGAAAAGGGAAAATAAATTTAAAGAAAGATTCCACCATGATGTGACAATACAAAATATGAATCGACCTATTTCATATATAGTTCATGCCTGCTATTGCGATCCAAGTTTTGAACTGCTGTGAGCTGACATTTTCAACTCCCTGCTCTCTCCCTCTTGCCGTGTTAACTAAGGCTAATACAATTTTTTAGTCCCTCAAGTTTTAAACCATAGATTTTGGTCCTCAAATTTCTTTTCATTTAAAACATTGGTCTTTATAATTCAATAAAAACTTGGACTATTTTGCTTCTTGAAGGACCAAAACTAAAATGAGGGTAAACTTGAGAGACCAAAAATTATATCAATCCTATTAACTAGTTTATTTTCTGCCTCAAGTCATATTATTTTTGTCAGAACGTTTTTATTGTATTTCTTTGTTGGGACTTTGTTTGTTATGATTGGCCTTGTGTTCTTTAGCTTTATGATTGTAGGTCGTGGGGTTTGGTGCATAAGGAATAGGTTATTAGGCTTTAGTTTTGAGTTTTAATGTTCTTTTGTTGCTTGTTTTGTCTAAGTCCTAAATGTAATCACGGCATTCCTTTGTGAGAGGGTTGATTAATAAAATTTAGAGTTACTGGGGTTTTCTTAAAAAAGAAAGAAGTTGCTGTTTCCTTGTACTGATCTAGAGTTTGTTGCACTTTCAGGTGGCAAGGCAACTTTGTGTGAACATTGCACCTGAGAACCTGCATCTTCCAGCGCCTTTATCAAAGGTGGGTGAATATGAGGTGCCACTGCTCTTACCAAGGTCGATTCCCTTACCAGAGGGGGCGATTAACTGGAGACTCCAGGTTAAAATTCGGAGTAAATAGAACTATTAGTTTCAATCTTTTCAGACATTACTTGTTTTATTTTCATGGTCGTTGGCAGTTTTGTTTTTGTAATCCCCGATCATTCGATTATGACGTTTGTTATATGTAACATTTTAGGTGTTGGAAAATCCATAATCAGATTTACACTTGGTGGCTTGTTCAATACAAAATGAGAATAGGAATAGGAAAACTTTCTCATAAGAACATGGGAATTTCTCTTTTCAATAAAGTCATTATGCCACCTATCATACACAATTCTATTTTATCGCCTCTTGCCTTTACGTGTTCTTAGAACTGAGGCGTACTAACTTCAATTTTGGGTATAAAGTAGAAGCTGGATGCAGTTTTGAAGAGTGAGGAGTTGAGCTTGTGACGAACCTTTTCAATTTTATCTATGCTTGCAGTTGAATCAAAGGATATCTTTGTGGCTAGTTCTCACCGGTTCTTTGTGTTGATTGGGGTCACGTTGTCATTAGCCGTATAGCAAGATTTTTCTTTTTTCCTTTTTTGAGTTAGGCACAGGTATTCTTCAAAATTCGGTTTGAGATACCGTCAAATACTAAATATGAATATCTCAATTAGAATATGAATTTTTATTCACCACAATGTGAAGGGTTAGTCATTTTCTACTATACCGAATTCCATCTAGTGCATAGGAATTGCTAAGTTGTGAGAACATTTGAGAGGGTTTTTTTTTTTTTTTGGTCTTGGGCCTTGCATTTTAATAAATTTTTTCAGGCCGAAAGACATATCTTAGCCTTATTTTTGGTGCAACATGTAGGAAAATAAACTATTAAATGCTTATAAATCTGTGTTTGGCCCCAAAAAAAAATGCTTATAAATCTGTGAGGCCAATTTCTATTCTATTTACCAACGGGGGTTGGTCCAAGTAGTAAGCGGTTTGGTACCGCTTAAGCGAGGTCTCGAGTTCGAACCTCAGCGTATGCAGAAATCCCCGTTGGGAGACTCACCCACCATAGCCAGGTGCGCGACGCGGGTCGGATCCAGATGTAGTCAGAGCAAAGCTCCGGTGAACTGGGTGGGCAACCAAAAAAAAAATTTCTATTCTATTTTATGTCCCGGAAAAAAATCCGGCGATATCCCATCTGGTGATATTCTAGTTATCCCTTATCCAGTTCCTCGTCAAGGCATTAAATGGTCGCCACATATTCCCATTCCCTGTCCCATGAAATGCCGCCCCGATATCAAACTTCGTCTCTTTTTGTCATCCGGATCGTCGTTTGTATTTCGCATATATAAAGTGAAGTATCATTTTGTTCTTTAATATAAAATCTTATTTAATTTTTATTTTAGTCTTAATTATAAAACCTCAATCCATTCTGTTTCTCATATTTATATAATTTTGTTCAAGATAGTCTCTCTAATAATAGTAGTTCTAGCTAATAAACTTGATTAGCAATGATATTTTAGGAAAGACAACACCTATTTATTACAAATAATTAATTTAACTTTTTTTAATTTTCTCAAATTAGTCAACTAACTCTTATAATTAGGATCAGAATTAGTACTAAACATTAGTGATATTTATATTTCTATTACATGAAACTTCACAAAAATGAAGTCGTGTAATTGAAAGATTCAGATTATGTAAGTATCCAATTTACTAATACTGTTGCAAGAGCTTGCCCTGCTTCTATTTCGCTTAAGAAGATTACTTCGGTCGAATATAATTTTTTAAAAATGCTAGATAACGTTTAGTGCTGTTTTTTTTTTTAATACTGCTTAAAATTATGTTTAAATTTCTGCTATTTCAATCTGATTGATTTGAATTAGAACATCTACTAGAAACAGATTTAAACAAACGAATGATATCAAACACTTTTCACAATTTTAAAATTACATTGTCAAAATAAAATTTTGAGAAATATTATGATGGAGCATTGCCGCCACCATCATCTTGAGATTTAAATGAAATTGTCATGTTAGACTAGATTGTTTAGTAGGTATGGGCATGATGAATGAATAATGCAATTCATTAATAATACAATTCATAAACTTCAATTTATATTGGTTAAAGAGCAAATTTATACCAAAAGTTTTTAGCCAAGAATAATAGGTACTAAAGAAATCTTTTTAAATGCAAATTTATTTCGAACATTTAAAATCATAACAATGTTGTCCCTTAATATTGAAAATGTTAACTATTAATATTATTATTTTAATTATCAACAATAGACTTTTAGTAGTAATAGCCAATGTTATTATAGTTTTAAACATTCAGAGTAAATTTACATTAAAAAAAATTTAGATATTTAGTGGGTTAAGTGAAAACTTTTTATCCAAATTTATACTTTGGCATTTTTATATTTTACTATCTCCCATTATAATTATAAGAACTAGTTAACTAATTTGAGGAGATTAAAGAAATAAATTAAGTTAATTATTTATAATAAATAAATGCTATTTTTCTTAAAATATCTTTACTAATTAAGTGTATTAGCTAGAATTACTATTATTAGAAGAATTATTTTAATAAAAAAATATATAAATATGAGAGATAAAATAAATTAAACTCTTATATTTAATATTAAAATAAAAGTCAAATGAATTCTACGTAGCAGATGGAGTATATTGTTTCAGATAATAATATTTTATGCATTTGTATCTGTATCAGCCTTCTGGCAAGATTAGCCGGCTGGAAGGAGCACTTCGTTCGCTCTTCGCTGGCCAAATCAATCCCAAGATAATGACTCGAATCATACAATACAACAAGAAGTGGCTCCAGTGATATTCCCTGAGGCAGCAAGTTCTTGCTCTAATGGAAACTGTTCTTCAATCTCTTTCTCTACCTACTATTCCGAAGTCTCCCTCTTACTCTGCCTCTCCATTAGCAACCCTCTTCCATTCTAATGCATCTTCAGTAGCTTCTAGTTCTGCAACTCGTAATTTTCCAAAAGGCTTTCTCTCATGTCGTCCTATCAAAGCAAAGGACAAGAGCAGCCTGGGAGCGATATATGCTTCACAAGATGAAAACCCTCCTGCCGAAGCTGCAGAAAGATGGCTTCTTGTTCCTGTTGGTCAGTTGTATCTCTTACTCAATTTAGTCATTTGTAGAAGTAAAAACTTTGATAAGTCTTCGTCTTGGGATGTTGATGTTGTTGTTCTTAAATTTTTTCTGTGTGTTCTTGCATATTATGTGATTAGTCCTGATCAATGTCTATTCGGCTTCTGGGGCTGGAAGCTTTTGAAAATTGAAATGCTATGCTGATAGGAAACTGACATCGTTAGCAAGAGAGACTTATTTCCTAGTCTTTCTACCTTTTTCCTTGTTGTTGGGATGAGGAAGGCACCAAAAATTTCTCCTAGTATCTGGTCTTGTATATTTTAAGATATCTCAATCCTTACCCAATGTGGAACGAAGTAGACACCAACATAACCATGCGGAACATCTCCTAATTTCTTCAGGGTGTGTTTAGAAATTAGGAGGGGAAGGAACCCAAACAAAATGGAAGGAAAGCTTTCTTTTAACTTCTCCCATGTTTGGGACTTTATAGACTAGAGAATGGAAGATTCTCAGCTAACCCTTCAAGATCATCCAAAGGCCTCCCTTCTTTAAATCTTTGTTTTCCCCCCAAGTTGGGGGATTTGGATGAAAACGTTCTCCCACGCGAAGGGGTTGGGAATTATCATTTAGCCATGTATTCCCCTCCCTCCTTTCCTGTTTTCTCTGGTTTCCTTCTTTTCCTTTCTCTTCTGAACTCACAAACATACATTGCCACTTACTGGCATTTTCACTTTCTTTCACCTTTCAAAACTTGAAGGAAAGAGATCTCTTTTTTTTAACCAGTGAAGAAAAATGCATGATGAAGCGAGGAAAATATTATGTAATGTTTTGTTTTCTGATAACCATGTGGTATTTAGGAGTTAGTAATTTGATAAATGAGGCAATTTAGAGTTAACCCATCAGAAAATAAGGATTATCAATGACGGTGTTTGAGTTTAGTTATATCTTATCCTATAATAGTAATCTAATTCAATATTTTGTATGAGTTTCATGAGGGACTCCTGTTAGGGTTGACAGCCATTTGTGAAAAAAACACCCCTGTTGCGATATATTGAATTGAGTTTTCTTGGTAGTATTATGCCTTCTTAGCATTGCCTTTGCTTCCCTTTTGAATATAAACTTCAAGTTTGTGGTGGTTAATGGGTAATCATAGCATATAGTAGACGCACAAAATTTACCGTGTTGTATTTTCTAAAATGATTCAATTTTGTGCGCTAACTTGGACGTCAAACCTAAGCATGAGTTGATGATGCACGTTAAATATATTATGTGTCTGTCACTTTTTTCAGTGTTGCACTACACGTTACCAGTTGACAAGTTGTTAAATTCAACTGTAAATTTTGATTTACTCCATTATGTGTTTTTAAACTTGAAAGACGGAGTTGAACAATTAGTACAATTAGAGGGACCAAATGTGCAGCCTAGGATTTACGTTAATGTGATTTCCTTTCAAGTTATGAGATTCACGTGGTTTTGTATCAACATTGGAAATATAATCTGGGACATTTTTGGCATTTGATAGGAGATGGTGATTCGAGGCACATAGGCTTCAAGGTTGAGATGCCAGGTGCATATGAAATTGCTTCTGTAAGTAATATTATAATCAGTAATATTCTTGTCTGGTTCCGTTTGCTGTGGATTAACAGTCTTGTTTTGATATTTCTAGAGTGATGTGACTGTTGGCCGTGTTCCAGAGAAAGCTGATTTGGTGATTCCAGTTGCAACAGGTATTCCGAATCCTGATTATCAATGCTATGGATGCATTTGGAATCAAATTGATCAAGAATTCAATTGAGCCGTCATTAGTTTGTCTATTCAAAATAAATCTTTAATGTTGTATAATTCCATTGAACTTCATTGAATTTTGTAGTTGAATTCAATTTTAATTTTTACATAAGTATTCATTTCGAATGTTGCACAGTGAAATAATAAAAACGTAAACATGTCTTTTTGTCGTATCTCTAAAAATTTCGAATGCTAGTCAAATACTATTGATTTTGGTGGAATTTGAAAACTACAGTGGAACTCACTTTTCTGTTAAACAATGAAAAAAGAAATTGAGCTTCACTTTGAAAATGTTTCAAATAAAGTCTAATTTTTTAGTATGTTGCGTAAGATTACAAACTAGACACGTTTCTTTTGCTGAGAATGTCGACAAAAAAATTCCTGTGGCTGAGAGATAGGAACATAGAAGTGGAGCTCACATGCCTGCAAATGTTTTAGCTGTAATCTAACTTGGTTTATGCCAACGTTCAGAAAGCATGAGGATTTTTCTTTTTGTTCCTTGTGTTAGTCCATGATTAATAAAGTCGGATTGCATTATTGTTTAATATGATCATTAAACTTTCAGTTTCTGGTGTGCATGCACGCATTCAGAAGAAAGGAGGGAATCTTCTGGTCACTGATTTGGATAGCACCAATGGAACGTTCGTTGATGACAAGAAGCTGAGACCCGGAGTGGTTGCCACTGTGTCTTCTGGGAGCTGCCTTATATTTGGTATCCTCTCAAACATATCTACGTCTGGAACCAAAATAATGTTTCCCTCTATCTGCTTAGCTGCCCTTTTCCAAATAATTATCTCTCCATTACAATCAATCAATCACATATGATTAAACACAGCCAGACAAATCATGTAACCAGCACGGTGCTGATGTGTGAACTTATGACTAGTGAATGGCTTTCTACGGAATTTAATATTAGATTAGATTAGATAGATATCAGATTAGTATTTTGCTTTCATGGTAGCTTAAAGTTTTTTTTTCCTGGGTATTAGCATTTGAACCTTGAACATTAAGCTTTGATTATCATTGGCTCACCATGATAGCTTAAAATTTGCAGTGTCTTAGAACAACTCTAAAAGTGTCGTGTAAGATGTTTGAATGCAAACATAGTTTCATTTATGATGTATCATATTTGTGTTTTACCAAAAAGGATTTATGTTTACATGTGTGCATGAGACAAACAAGGTTCTGTTTTCAAAACGCATGTGAATGAACAGAAAAAAGATGTGTACTTGACACATGATTCTGTTTATAAAGTTTCTATGATTCTTGGAAAAGAACATTCACATGTGTTCTGACTCACGTGAATTGATGGGAATTGTTTTCAAGTCCCAAGTTGAAACAAATAACACGCATAATCAAGCATGCAGCTGATTAAGTAGAAAAGGTGGAGTTTCCAACCTATTTTTCCCCTTAGATTTCACGTAACAGGGGAGTATAGAGAGAGTAAAAGAGTGGCTAGGTTTTTCAGAATGTTAACATCTAATTAAAATTTTATGTGGTATTTATGAGGTCCTAATGAAAAACCCTTGGATTAAAGGATTGTAGGTTGGAGTCTCTACCCAATAAACTTATATGCGAACCAACCTATTACAGGGCGCACACATTAAACAAAGATCCAATCCCTTTTGTTTTTGGATATGTTGAAAGAAGACTAATTATCCAATAAAGTTTATATACTACCTCCGGTTCTTAATATAAAATTCATTTTGTAGTGGAATTTGCATTATAAAATGGATATTACATTAAGGACCAGAGGTGTATGTTCTGATAATTAACCAATGCTAATCCACAATAAAATTTATTAATATTATTTCCAACAATATACAGATTTGGAGTTATTCATTTTGGGTTTCGGATATATGTCCATTTTGAGGGACCAAACCATGTTAAACTTCGTGGTTTTTTTTCTCATTCCTTTCTCTTGCATGTGCTTTCAGTCAAGGATCCCAATATTATGTGCGTGCGTGTCTGACACAGCTAAGATGGATGATCCAATGTTGAATTATGCTGAGGAATGAAGATGCATACCATGCATATATACAACATTAATAACATTTGTGTGTGTGTGTGTGTGTGAGAGAGAGAGAGAGAGAGTCACTATATAGTGCCAAAAATGAATGTAATCGCTGAAAAGTTCATAATAAGTTAATAACAAGTTTCAATACAAAAAATAACAACAAAATCCACACTACTCACTTGTTGAGATTCTTTAGTAATCGTATTATTTTCTTGAGACCACATTGTGATTTTCCCGAAAAAAGGAGGCCTTTTGTGGATTTTGTTGATCATTTAATAACTTTATGAAGTTCTAGCATCTTAAGCTAGTTGTCACTGTTTGCCAGGAGATACCCATTTGGCTATGTTTCGCGTATCGAAGGTTGAGAGTGAAGAGACTGAAGGCAAAGCAGAAGATGAAGAAGAAGCTCAAGTGAACTCTGATACCGAACTGGAGACCGAGAATGCTGAGTCAAGCTAAGCTTCCATAGTTTCTTTGGTAATTATTGATGTATAGTTAAATTAATGAACTGTTAATGAAATTATTTTGTTCTGTTTTGAAGTCCTATGAATATTTGCGAATTATATTAAGCTGAGAGAGCTCTCTTTGTTTTCTGCGTTGAAAAAACACTGCAAATTTGATTGATTGTCGTTGCTGTGCTTTATTGAGCTTTCGCTTTCAGTGCTTTTATTTCAAATAATAATAAATAACTGCTCAATTATTAGCACAATAGATTTTGTAAGATATCCAAAGCAATAATATCATGTATAATGCCTTTATTGTAGTTCATGGGGGTTGAAATATTTTAGTTATTGTGCCACCTGCAGTGCTAATTATATGATCTCGTTTATAGTCTACAAATAAAGTGTTATAATTAGGACTGAAGGTAGTATTAGATTATGTGTTTGAATTGGAAATGTTTCAAAATATTTTTGTTTTCAAATATACTATATATTCTATTGGGTGTGTGTAATAATAAGCTTGTTAAAATTAACTATTAAATTAACATACTGTTTGATTTAGTTTTAATTTTAATTTTTATAGTTTCAAATCGTATGAGAACTTGGTTTGAGTTTAAATATAGGAGCCAAAATTAAAATTCATTAAGCATTCAATGAAAATTATTATGTAGAAGACTTTGTTTAATCAATTAAAAAAATTATAATTTGTTAAAAATATTAGATAAAAAATTTACAAGTTTAAACAATAAAAAGTATTTATCAAGAGACATAGAAATAATAAAAACGGTAAGAATAAGGCTGCACATAGGTGGGGTTAGGCAAGGCAAGCCTTGTGCCTGATGCCCACCTCGAAAGATAAACGAGCTGTGTTTTATAGCCTGCAACTCAGTCCTGCCTGATAGAAGCCCTAACCATTTTGGGTTGGGTAAGGATAAGCTGGGCTGACTGGGCTTTCCTGCTCAATCTAATGACACTTTGTCCAAATCATATGTGAAAAACTCAATTATAATTAACAAACTCATAAAAATTATAACTATTTTGAAAGAATAAATGTAAAAATATAAATTTAAAAATACCAAGTGCCCTTAGTTAATCTTTTTCTATTCCCCCTGCCTTCATTTTTCAAAAAATATGTATAACGTTCTTTTCTTTGCTTTTATGTAACCATAAACATCCAAATATATATTAAAAGGATTAGAAGTAAATGTTAATATCATGAGAGAGATAACATGAAAAGATAAATGCATAAATTTGGCACATGGGTAAGCATCATTAGTTTCAACCATATGACTTCATTATCATGCTTTGAGACATAAGAGGAAAAGAATTTATCATGAATCACTTTCACTCATATATGTAAGCCTTATGTAGTCTTGTTCTTCAATCTTCAATTTCTCATGGGAGGTAAAAAAATCATTTAATAATTAAAATATTTAATCAATTCTTTAATTCATTCATATAGTTGGCAGATTTTTATATTCATATAAAAGCACAAGATTTGAAAAGTCGTTTTAGTTTTTTTCTTTTTCTTTTAAAAAATTGGAGGTAAGAGGAAAAGAAGGAAATTAGACCAGGAGCAATTTAGCATATTTAATCTTATATTTTGATATTTGGTTCTTTTATATAATTATAATTTTTATGTTCATTTCATTTTATCTAATTTTACCTAATTTTTTAGCTAAAATAAAAAGAGATAATGGCTGAAAATAATATAATATTATATATTATAATTATATATTTTCTTGGGCAGGGTAGCATACCGTGCCCGTGGCCCGGCTCGGTCCTGCCCGTGAATCAGCTCGGCCTGAAAATGTCCCTTTTTGTTTGGACAACTTTTTGTTGGGCAAGGTTGAGTATTTTTTTTACGGGTTTGAGTGGGCATGTTGGGTATGCGGTTCTTATGTACACCCACAACAAATACTAACATTTAAGGGGTGTTTGGCAATTGTTCAAAAAGTATTTTTGGACTACAAACTTTGATTTAAGCCCAAAAGTATCCAAACACACCCCACTGGCGGGATGTTTGGCGGCTGAATCCCATAACGCACAAGGGTGAAGATTTTGCTCAAACAAATGCACAAGTATTATATTTTGATTATATGATTATCCAGTCGAATTCTATATCCTTTTTGGTTCTTATAGGAAAACTATACATGTCTTTATTAGCAAAAATTAATACTACCTCCGGTCCTTAATATAAGACCCCATTTAACATTTGTATTAGTCCTAAATATAAGATCCTAATCCATTTTGTCTCTTATATTTACTCAGTTTTTTCCAAGATGGTTTTTCTAATAGTTATAGTTTTAGTCAATACACTTGATTAGTAAGAATATTTTAAGAAAGACAACACCTATTTATTACAAATAACTAACTTAACTTCTTTTCTTAATTTTCTCAAATTAGTCAACTGGCTCTTATAATTAGGACCAGATGTAGTAGTATAAAAGTAAATAGAATACTCAAGAGTCAAATTCATTGGATTATTTTATTTTTTTAAGAAAATACATGAACATAGGAGTACAACAAATCAATTTAGATATAATAATTCTGTGAAGGAAAACTTGGAGGGTAGCATCGTGGAAAGCATGGATTGGAAAAAATTAATATGTGGCCATGGCATGCCTCACACGCTTCTTAGAGCCACTCACGTTTTTCAGTTTAAAATTTTTGCCGTTGCCAAGCTGACGTTTCTTTTCTTGTGCTCCAAAATTGTCGGCCCTTAATCTTCTTTATAAGTATTAAATGCAAATAGACATTTTTCTTGTGAAACAGCCCATGATCTTCTTTGTCATCAAATCTTAAACGCTCCTGGGATCTGAAATAATATAAAAACTGAGGGATGAATATAATCATAAAAGGCTTCTGGGTAAATTTGCCCGAAAATTTTTTATTAATTCAGGAGCGTTGGGCACTGAAAATTTAAAATTCTAACAGTACTGTCATCTGTCATTAAAAACTGACATTTGATTATTATGAGCATTGATCGTTAGCATTTTTAATGGTAATTGCCATAATTTTAAATTTTTGAGAAAAATTTGTATTGAAAAAAATTAGGTGCCGAGTTCTTTTGAATGAAAACTTCTCAAATAAATTTCAGTTTAACCTACTAACAAGTTGTTGGTTGAGGTGATAACAGTTTCACTTCCATTAGAAAGGAAAACACAAATTCAAATCTCGAAAGGTATACTTATTATGAGAGTTATTCCTTAACTGTTTCAGACCCGAAAGGAATTGGTCTTAAATAGGTGTGACTTAAGGATATCCTTGTTTCACCTAAAAAAACCAAATTAATATTAACCCTAATCATAAATATAAGATTTTTAATTAATTTTATTTCTTATACTTATTATTTTTTAAAAACTAATTTATCTAACTTATGAATTAAAATTAACCGCATTATAATCAATTTTAATCATGATCTAATGTTATACCAATATTATAATGTACATTTGTTATAAACTTATAATTAACCCAGTCCAAAACTAAAATTGGCTAAACAATCAACAAAACAATTTCCCTCGCAATAAGCGGGAGTAAAACACACCTATCAGTCTCTATCACGATGTTTCATGAAACTATTGATTTTTGAGGGAAAAAATAAAAGGCCTAAGTCAAGACCCTACGAATAGATGTTGAGTTTTTTTATTACTCAGTTCAACTGTTAATGGTTGCAAATTGCTCAATTTATTATGCTCTGTATTTGAAAAAACAACAGTTTTTCCAGAAAAAGTCATAATTTAAATTGGTGCTAGTATGTAGTTATTGGTCACCTTTTTCTTTAAACTTTTGGGGGGAATTTTATATTTAAATTTTGACAACCTTGCAGTGCATGTGGCTTCATCTGGTTTCATTCATGTTATATATTGGTGCTCGCCTTAAATAATACTAAAAATTAAAATGACTTTAGAAGACAGTTCACCCAAAAAAGAAAAAAGACTTTAGAAGGGCAACATTTTGGTCACATGATTTTTATTTTCTAGCGACTTCTTTTCTGAAAATAAAACTTCACTTATTGGCTTGTAGGCACGTGATAGGGATAACATGCGGCGCATACTCTATTAACAGAGCTACCCAGTTTTCTCTCTTTTTACCCAGTTTCTCTCTTTTTTGAATTAAGCATGAGATATTTAATTATCTAATTTGGCTGAAAATAATTTTTTATCTTCTACTAGATAAACACTGAATTGTCCACATAAAAGGTAATGAAAATTGGGCATTTTTAAAATAGATGTATGTAGTCTTTTTAAAATAGGAGTATTTAAAACAATATGACTTGGAACCAATGAATAAAAAAATGATCGAACCGGCTAGTTCAACTAGAAAATTGATGAACCAGTCAGCACCCTGATTTGGTTTAAGTGTTGAACTAGATAAAAATTGAACTGGTATCAAACCGCGGGCGAATATATATAAATTGATGTGAACCAGTAATGAGCCAATTCAAACAATTATATTGCTATTAATCCTTTTTTCCCCCTCATCTAGCTCTTAATATTTCAGTCACTACAAATTTGAATGAATTTTAATGATGATTTTGGTATTAATGATTCTTAATTTTAGTTATTAAGAAATCAGTACTTTGTTATGGTTACAATCAAACTATTATTATATTTATTTGTATTTTGTTATTGATGCTTTTTAATATTATTATATTTTGTTATTTTTAATTAAATTATATTATTTTTATCTGCTTGGTTCGATTCCGAATCAATCCTAGTCTGATCCACTAACCTTTGAACTGCTACCTTAATTGGTTCAGTTTTCGGTCCATTTTTTGTTCCTTCCTTGCAAGCTTATCAGATGCTATATAAATATAAAAATATGGTAAAAAAATTAATAAGAAAGAAAAAGTAAAGTCCGATTTAAAAAGTGAAATTAAACTCGAAATATCTTGATGATTTACTTTTCGTGTCAAAAAATGTTCTTATATGTTATTAGATAGGCACTAAGTTGTACATATAAAAGCTAATGGGAATTATGTTTATCTTTTTAATTGAAATTTAGAAGATCACATTCATTTAATTACATTTTACTCATATAAAGAGAGAATATATTAACTAATTAATATGGTGAGCCAGTTAAAAGGTTTTTTTAACTAAGGAACAAAATATAAAGAGTGCATCTTATGTCATCCAAAAGATTCAGAACAAATGAGAGACCCTGCGAGGTTAGTTTATTATAAAACTACAATTTTTAACTTTAATTCGGAGATATCACAATCATTTGCTTTTCACGTCAAATAAGATTCTTATCTTCTACCGGATAAACACTAGGTTATGCACATAGAAGGTAATGGGAAGGATGTTTATCTTTCTAATCAAAATTTCGAAGATCACATTGATTTAATTCCATTTTACACATCTAAAAGAGAGAACATATAATTAATATGGTGAGCTAGAACCATTTAAAAGGTTTTTTTCAATTAAAAAAAAATAAAAACGTATATCTTGTGCTATTCAAAAACTTAGAACAAATGAAGGGTTGTGTGTTTCACTTGGTATAAAAAAATTCATTTAGTAGAGGGGGAAATTCTTTACAATCATTTTATACACATTCTAAACTAATAAGTAAGAAAAGCCAAAGTCCAATTTAAAGAAGTGAAATTAAACAAGAGATATCTCGATCATTTTCTTTTTACGTCAAAAGATGATCATATCTTCTACTAGATAAGCTCTAAATTGTATATGAAAAAGGTAATAGGAAGGATGTTTATCTTTCTAGTTAAAAATTAGCAGATCACATTCACTTAATAATGTTTTACTCATTAATACATAACTAATATGGTGAGACAGCATCATTTAAAAGGATTTTTTTTTTTTAATCAAAGATTCATCTTGTGCCATGCCAAAACTTAGAATGAGGAATCTTGTGCATTTCACTTATCATATTCATTGATCTTTAACATTAGCCTGCATCTCATAGAAAAGTTCATTCAATATAAGGAGGAAAACTCCACAATCATTTCATGCACCTTTTAAACTAATTAATTAAACCCGTCCACTATATTCTTCAAAGTCATAATAGTGCACTACCGTTTTACCCTTGTGTCACATATTTCTTTAATTTTGATCAAATCATCTATCAATAGCTTGTCAGCATAACTTCATATATATAAATATATATATATATATATATATATATATATTCCAAACAACTTCACATAATTTCATATATGATTTATAACAATATGAGTCGTTGGATATAGATATATAAAAATATGATTAAAAAACAAAAGAAAAGGCAGAGTTCGAGTTAAAAAGTGGATTTAAGTCGGAGATATCCCACTCATTTGCTTTTTATGTTAAAAAAATGTTTTTTTTTATCTTCTATCAGATAAAAACTAAGTTTTAAATGGAAAGATGTCTATCTTTCTAATTAAAATTTAAAAGACCAAATCCATTTAATTACATTTTACTTAGTCAAGAGAATATGTACATGACTAAAATGGTGAGCTAATTTGTCAATAAAAAAAGTACATCTCATGTCACGCAGGAAAGAAAAAACAAACTTAGAACCAATGAGAGATCTTGTGTGTTTCGCATGTTATACATTCATCAACCTTTATTTATTTATTTTTATTTTTTGCCAGAATTCATCAACAACCTTTAAAATTGACTTCCATCTTATAGAAAAATTCATTCAGTGTAGAGAGAAATTTTCTCCAACATTTTTATGGACGACGTTTTAAAGTAACTAAGTAACACGTCCATTGTATTCTTTTTTTTTGACCAGGCATTGTATTCTTTAAAATCTCAGGATAAAGTTTACCCTCGTGTCATATGTACTTCTTGGGCTCTGGTCCTATTTATAGAGTAAGAAGATAAGATTTTTTTAGTCTTATTTATAATTCACTTCATTAAATTTTTACTGTAAATGTATTATTTTGTTTTTCATTTATTATGATATAAGTAGTTACCCTTTTTGAAATGTATATATATTAAATATGACTAAAGTTAAAAAATTATTACATTTTAATATAGAGTCAATATATTTTAAAATCTTTTTTTATTAATATAAAATATGCTGAAAATGTATGATAAACAGAGTCAAAAGAGTATATTTCTAGTTTTGCGCACATCATTTGTCAAGCAGTCATTTCGAGAACACGCCCCATTAATAAGAGCCAAATGATTCAACTAATCCGCCAAAAAACTACTTCATTTATGATCGAGCCATCCGCGTCAAAGACAGAGACCCAGTGCGTCTCTGGCGGCACATAACAGTGAAATCCTTTGACCTAACTTTGGCCAAGCCACGCTGTTCAAAACCCGCCAGACGAAAACAAGAGAGCCTGCCCTGTGGGCAGGTCAGGCACGGAACCTGGAAGCCAGGAATGCGTTGTCAAAGGGATGACCGCAAGTCCGCAAGACCAAAGGGCGCGTAATGGCAATATGGCATGGGAGAAATTCTAGCATACACGGAACTAGTTTCTTGTCCCCCAACGTGACACCTCCCCTTTCTATTATTTAAATATTTTTTTTTAGTAATGTGCGTGTATTTTAATTGTCTCCCTCTTCTACCCTTTCTCTTATATGCACAAACGGAATTAGTTTCGATATTTATAATTTTGATGAGTATTTTAAACTCATCATATCTAAAATGTTTATATCGATTTGAATAGTTTAGATTTAAAATTTTTAATTAATTATTTTTAAATAAAAAATTATCATTTTTAAAAAAAATTAATAGTTAAGAGATCATTACTATTTTAGATTCTATACCTATTAAAATAATTATTTTAAATAAATAGAAATAAAAAAAAATCAAATTTGAACTATGAATGATTTAGATTTATTTATGATGTTTATTAAAAAAATGAAAACCAAAACTGGTTCTATCTGAAAACTTGTTTTTTAAAAGAAAAACTTTCACTCTCCGTTCCTTATTTTCCGCGGGTCTCATGACATCCAGTTGCTCGAGAGTCGAGAGAGGGAGATGGGAGGAGTGGCGGTACTCGAGAGAGCGAAGAGGGACGGGAGGAGTCGGGAACTGAAACGGAGAGAGCCAGAGAGGCAAATGAAAGTAAAAAAATAGGCAAATTACACATAGGTCTCATATAAGACAATTAATTCATAAAAAGTCTCTAAAATTTCAAAATGATTCCTAAGTACTCAGGGACCTGCGTGTAATAAATTGAAATTATGAAATTACCTATTTACCCCTATTAATTTTATTACAGTAATTTATTTACAACCCTAACAGTGGCTGTTGACAATCCGAGGACGAGTGGTTAACAACCTCGGTGGTGCCCCTGACAACTTACTCTGTGGGATACCTAGGGAATTGTTGAGGTTGTTAACCACTTCTTCTCGACTTGTCAACAGCCACTGTTGAGGTTGTAAATAAATGGGATAAATAGGTAATTTCACAATTACAATTTATTACACACAGGTCCCAGGGAACTTGGGAGTTATTTTGAGATTTTGAGGGACTTTTTGTGAATTAATTATCTTATATGGGACCTGAGTGTAATTTTTCCTAAAAAAATTTTGCAGACAGGAGGGAGAGTGGGAGAAAAAGACGATAAAGAAACTCGAATTTCAAAAAAATAATTAAAATAATAGATGGAGAGGACTGCCAAGTAGGATAAAGGTTCACCAAGCTGTCAAAATATGACTGACAAGCGCAAAAATGAGGAGGTCCGCTGGGTGCATGCAAGAATTTCTCGCGGAATGGCCCATACGTGTTACGCACGCGGCCCACGTTCTCACACGTGTCGATCTTCCCCTACAAAAATAACTTCAGCCTTTCCCCTCTTCAAGTTGTTAGCTGTCCTTCGGTCCTTCCAGCGTCTTTCCATTTTTCCATATTCACCCCCACTTCTGTGTTAACTCTTTTTCATCTTCGACGGAGTCCGCCATGGATCCTCATCCCCGCCGCCATCACCACAACCACCCCCCTCGCGCCACGTCTCACGAAGGCGCCGCCGCTTCTTCCCCGACTCTACTCAAGAAGCCTTCCTCCGCCATCGCCAACGGCCGTCATCGAGCCTCGTCTCCTACTCCTAAAGCTTCTGATGCCCTACCTCTGCCGCTGTACCTCACCAATGCTGTCTTCTTTACGCTCTTCTTCTCCGTTGCCTACTATCTCCTCCACCGTTGGCGTGACAAGATCCGGAACTCTACCCCTCTTCACGTTGTTACCTTGTCTGAGATTGCCGCCATTGTGTCCCTCATCGCGTCTTTTATTTACCTTCTTGGGTTCTTCGGCATTGACTTCGTACAGTCCTTCATCGCGCGTGCTTCTCACGATGTTTGGGACCTCGAGGACGACGCCGGCGAGGGCGATGGTGCTGCTGTTGCTGAGTCTCGTTCTCTCAACCACCATCCACGCCGTGATTTCGTCATCGAGCAACCGGTTCCTAGATTGGTGGTGGATCCCGATCCCTTGGTTTCGTCTCTTTCCTCTGAGGAAGATGAGAAGATCGTACAGTGTGTGCTAGATGGTACGATTCCATCGTACTCGCTCGAGTCCAAGCTCGGGGACTGTAAGCGGGCGGCGGACGTTCGTCGTGAGGCCTTGCAGAGGATGACTGGGAGATCTCTCCAGGGATTACCGTTGGATGGGTTCGATTACGAATCAATTTTGGGGCAGTGCTGTGAAATGCCGGTAGGTTACGTGCAAATTCCGGTGGGAGTAGCTGGGCCGTTGTTGCTTGATGGGTTTGAGTATACGATACCAATGGCAACCACAGAGGGGTGCTTGGTGGCGAGCGCGAATAGAGGTTGTAAAGCCATTTATGTTTCTGGCGGAGCTACCAGCGTAGTGCTGAGGGATGGGATGACCAGAGCGCCTGTTGTAAGGTTCGCTACAGCCAAAAGGGCTGCGGAGTTGAAGTTCTATCTGGAAGATCCTCTCAATTTTGATCAACTGTCCTTCATCTTTAATAAGTTCGTTTCGAAACTTTCGTATTTAGCATTACTTGCTTCTTTTGGAGATTATTACTGGTTTGGACATTTTTTGGCTCAAATCCCTTTCCTGGATCAAAAGGGCACTCCAAACAATCCCATTGCATCTAGGAGTTTACTCCGACGTGCTTACTTAGCTGTATACAAAGTTTTGCGATGCGTATGCATTTAATTTCTTTCTTAGGAAGTTTGACTTTTGACAGATTTAATTGTGTAGTCGTGTAGAGGCGATTTTTTCTCTCTGTTTTTTTTTTTTGGGGGGGGGGTAATGTTTGGTGAGTTTTATTACTGTTTGTTTCGTGATTTTCTAAATGTCTGGACATCAGGAAAAGTGATGAACGTGGGGTATAGAAAGACAAGAGTCTGGGTTCCGTTGGGACAAACAATCAAGAACATTCTTAAGAATTTAATGGACGAAAGTTTTAGATCTTTTTTTTTTTTTTCCAAATTACATTATATTAAATTAGGATATTTCATTTGTTGTTGCAGGTCAAGTAGATTTGCTAGGCTCCAAAGCATCCATTGTTCAATCGCTGGAAAGAACCTTTACATGAGATTCAGCTGTAGCACAGGTGATGCCATGGGGATGAACATGGTTTCCAAAGGCGTGCAGAATGTTCTTGATTACCTTCAAAATGATTTCCCGGACATGGATGTTATTGGCATCTCTGGTAAACAACTTTCCCCTTCTCACTTCTGTTGCTACTTGCTAGGAACATCCAGATTGATCTTTTGCAAACATGCATAATGTCATTGTTGCAACTTTATTCATATATAAAATTTATATGGACCACCTCTCTTGAATAATGTCCTTGCATCAGTCGTGGCAGTGGTCCAGTTCCTTCCATGAGATTGTCCTATTTTTTTTCTCATCATGCTGTAGTAGTTAGCTGAAATCAGGCAATTATTTGTGCTAGGCTATACTGTGGTGTTATTTGGGAGGGGTCTTATGTTATCGATGACTAAACATTTATTATTCTCTTTTTGATCGTCAAGTAGTTGGAACTTGATATGAGCTTGATTTTTTTTATTTCAATATTCAGTCTGACCTTACCTCCATTACCGTCTGATAAATTTAATTCATAAAGAAGGTTTCGGTTGATTTAGTGCAATGTATGAAATCTATTTCTTTTTCTTCTCTCGCCAGAAACTATATTTTATTCATTTGCTGCTTGACTGCAAATATGAATGCAGCAACTCAATACTGCCATATCATTATGGTCATAATTTTCTTCTCTGTATATATGGTAGTGCTCCTTTTTGTGCATACGGTATTTATGTTTGGCAGTTAGTTTTTCTTCATCATGTCTTATTTTATTTTGAAATGGTATATCCTCGACTTTCAGCTATTTTATTAAGGCAGTTAAGGACTTTATCACGTAGTCTAATAGAAACATGAGGGTTATGTATTTCCTATGTTCTTTAGGGAATTATTGTTCGGACAAGAAACCTGCTGCCGTAAATTGGATTGAGGGGCGTGGAAAGTCAGTTGTTTGTGAAGCAGTTATTAAAGAAGAGGTGGTTAAGAAGGTATTGAAGACCAACGTGGCTGCCTTGGTGGAACTGAACATGCTTAAAAACCTTGCTGGTTCTGCTGTTGCCGGCGCCCTTGGTGGATATAATGCTCATGCCGGCAATATCGTGTCTGCCATTTTCATAGCCACTGGTCAAGATCCAGCGCAAAATGTTGAGAGTTCTCATTGCATAACCATGATGGAAGCTGTCAATGATGGGAGAGACCTTCATATCTCAGTGTCTATGCCTTCCATTGAGGTGATTGAGCATCCTGTAAATTTAGCTTTTAATCTTTCTAGGTGATTGTATTGATCGACGTGTAATTGCTAAGAGTTCTACACTATTTGTTGTCCATTCAGGTGGGTACGGTTGGAGGCGGTACTCAGCTAGCATCTCAGTCTGCTTGCTTGAATTTACTGGGTGTGAAGGGCGCGAGCAAGGAGTCACCGGGATCGAACTCTAGACTCCTGGCGACCATTGTTGCTGGTTCTGTTTTGGCGGGAGAGCTATCTCTGATGTCTGCCATTGCTGCTGGTCAGCTTGTAAGGAGTCACATGAAATACAATAGATCAAGCAAGGATGTCTGTAAAATGGCAAGTTGAGGAGAGAAACGATGGGGTCCCAGCCATGGGTTGTGAAGCCTAAAATAAAAACCAGAAGGGTATTTGAGCAAAGTACACGTGAATTTGGAGAGGAAAGAAGAAAATGTCTAGTTTGTACCTGTGGGTGGTCATGTGGGATTGCCTGACTCTTTGGTGTCTGTGAATGTGAAGTCAAATGATTGTATGGAGGGGATGGGAGTTGTTTCTGTTTGGGTGGCCCCACTCTGGTTCATTCGCTGCACAACTTTTGATAGCTTTTCCCTGGCTGGCAATCAGAGGCACGTTAGCTTTTCTCACAGCTAAGAAGTCGTTTGTTGTGTTGTATTATACCTTCTTTTTTTTTTCGCTCTTCTTTTTCTGTTGTGTTTAGCATCCTTTAGTGGGGGGACCAGACCGTGAAGTGGGGCTTGCTGATTTTTTCATGTGTCGCTTTGTTCATTCGAGCCAAACGAATTGAATTGGACAATGCTTCTTTCGTTGATGACTTTGCATGTTACTATTACTCCTCTGAGCGCCAGTATTTAGGACTTAATTGATGGATGGGATTTTTCCTCAATATAGAATCTATCTTTTGTTTAATATATTTTTCATACATTGCCTTCATCAATTTCACAATTTTTTTCATTATTACGTAGTACTTCGAGGGAGAAAAACATAATTTTTACGCTATTTTTAACTTTTGTAAATTAATTAATTAGATTTTATATTTGTTGTTGTTATAATATTATTGTCGGGGAAAAGACACATTCTCGACCAACTATGTGGCTGATAATGCGATGGAACATGCTCTGACGGACAAACGGAATCTTACTCACATGAATTAGGGGCCTCTTCTGAAGACGCTCCTGCATGTTACCAGACTATTGGCAAAGAGCTTTTTATTAGAATAAAAAAAATTTTTTTACAAAAAGCTCTTTTGGGTTAAGGAGGCACATGAATCAAAATTTTTAAACTTGGGTGTTTGGGAATAAAAAGAAGTACTTCTATTAATAAAAATTGGATCTAACAGAAAGAAGTAATTTCTCGTAACATGATAAATCAATGTTTGAATTTTTATTAGGAGAGGCACTCGCATTTAGTGTTCGATAGTGTTTCAAATATGATTGTCTCTAATAAAAAGATACCTATACTTTAGCCCAAAAAAAATACTTCTAAAATAAAAAAGATAAAATGAGAAAATTATCATCAATGAACGTAAATTCTACAGCAAAATGAACTATTCGTAAAGCATGAAAGAGTCCGAACTTTATGTACAATGCATTGGATCTACATCCAATGAACTCTTTATACATATTCATACTTTTTTTGTGTCAATATCTTTTTAATTTTGGATACATATTTAAAAATACATTAAGAGTTGCTTCACGTTGGAGGAATCGTCTCCTTCTTTTATATACATATATATTATCGAACTAAGCAACACATTCAGCGAATTGCAACATTGTACTTAGAGGTAAATTGTTTATAGAATATGGTAATGCTTAATGATTTTTTGTAGGGGGCGGAAAATTTGGAAAATAGAAAATGAGATATGTACAATGGCTTGAGAAATGGAATAGATTTGAAGGCGGATCTAAAGTATAGTATTTAACTACTCCTCCGGTCCTAATTATAAGACCCAATTGACTTATTTGAGGAGATTAAGGAAGTAAGTTAAGTTGGTTATTTATAATAAATAAGTGTTGTCATTCCTAAAATATCCTTACTAATTAAGTATATTGGCTAAAACTATCATTATTAGAAGAATTATCTTGGAAAAAAATGCATAAATATAAGAGACAAAATGGATTGGGTCTTATAATTAGGACCAAATAAAAAGTCAAATTGGGTCTTATAATAAGGACCGGAGGAGTATTTATTAGCACAGGCTTTGTATGGGAATTCCGGGCGAGGATCAGTTTGGTGCATTGCTCCTTTGCTTTTGGAAGTATTAGGCCCAAGTCACGTTCACTCTTGCTCCCCGTCTACTCCATCCGAGTCAAAATGCAAGTTACTCTCCTAATCAACTCATCAAAATTAACTAACGATCTTGATTTAGCAAAATGAGTTAGTGCCTCACATGACAAATTAAAGTCCGAATATCGGCTGAAAGAGTCACCTACATTTAGTGTCCAATAATACCTTGAACTGACTTGCTTCCGATGAGAAAATATCATAAGACAAAAAAAAAAAAACCCATCACTCTTCTTTCTCGATATTATGTACCATCAATAAATAAGAATGTAATGACTTTTAATTTATATTATTGATCAAGAATTTCTTTTAAAAGACGATGTACTCCTCCAAGGAATATTGAAAATGGACTCATCAGCGTGTTCTTCTGGTCCTATTTATAAGATAGAGAGAGAAGATATTTTTTGATCATATTTATAGGGCACTAAGAGAAATTTTTTGTATAAATGTATAATTTTACCCCTTATTTATTATTAGTGTATCGATTTTGTTTACATAAGATATAATGTATATTAAATAAGAATAAAATTGTAAAGTTATTGAATTTTAAATGAGAGTTAATAAAATTTAAAGTTTTTTTTTATCTGTATAAAATATACTGAAAATGACTTATAGATAAGATTAGAAGAGTATTGGATTTCAAGGCATTTATTTGTCATGAATGCTTGCCGTTGGGTCACCTAACTAGCTCAAGTACTTATGACGAGAAGGATGATGGTTAGTGTATGGTCTTATTCATAGCTTTGTGAGTGTTTATTTGGCACCGTATCCCTACCATCCCCGCAATGCATAGCTAGTTAATAATGAACGTTGATTTTAATGGAAGTGACCAAAATTTAAACAATGACCAAATCAGGTCAAAATGGGAACTGCCGGAAAATGTCGCAGATATCAATAAATGCCGCCGTGCACCGTTGGGTAGGAGGTTGCCGCGTATCTATTTTATGCATTCCTTTGACTTTTAACGCACCAAATGTTCCTTGTCCTCTTTTCCTTCTTGTGTTTTTGGTCATAAATCACTCATTTTATTTTCCATACGAGCCCCAACCTCTTTATCACCCTCTTCTAACAATTTAAACAATTAGGTACAGTCATGTCCATGTTAGGTCTAAAGTACTTAAAATACATAAATATTATATATAAATCTCACCCTTCATGTAAAATATTATATTTCAAAACCAATGTCCATCTGAATGTTGCATCAAACGCGGAAAACGAGTTTGACTATTCATGATTTAAAAATAATTTGGTTTATTTTAATATGTGTGGTCATGCTGATCATTTGTTGATTGCATTTCTCCTACGCAACACTCGATTTATAAAATATCATACTTTTTTTATTATTTTTCAATGATTTTTTTATGTATCTTGTAACTGTTTTTTCTTAAATGATCCTGGTGAAATTTATTTTGATTTGTAAAATATAATTTAGTTTTTTTAATTAATTTGAATGGCCGCGAATTATTAAAAATAATTTTTTTATATTTGATAAATAGTTAAATTATTTAAATTAATTTAACCGTAAAAATCATTCAAAATAAATCAATACCATCTATTTTTAAGTAAATTATCATCTTACTTTGTAATTCACATGAGCTGTCTGTCTTTAATATATTAATTAATACCAATTTAATTAATAGTATACCTTTTATTTTTATCGGCAATTAATAGTACTATACCGGAATCATCAATATGAATTTAATCATATGACGGTGTTTGTAACAAAATCGATGCTTTTAGTGTTTTTTTTTTTTTTTTAATTTTACCTCCACATCATGCCCCTTATGCCCTGGACGACACACATGCTACAATGGCCGGAACAAAGGATTACGATCCCGCGAGGGTGAGCTAACTCCAAAAACCCGTTCTCAGTTCAGATTATATTCTCTTTTCTCTTTAATTCATTTATTGCATCTTTTACTTATTCTCTTCATTAATAATAATATATTTGGGGGAAAAAATACATGTCTCACATATTTATTATTTTAAACTGATTTTAACTAATTTCTTTATAAACGTAAATTGATGAAGTTTGTCTTATATTTTGAATCAGAAGAGTAGTTAACTCATTAAATCTGTCTTAAATTTAATTTTTTTTAATTTTACCCATATTAAATGAGATTCAAAAGAAGAGAGCAAAATACGGGAAAAAATTGCATTGAATCATTAATTACAAAGATAAGATTGACAAATAAATATTAATTACTTTCTTATTCACCAAAAAAAAAATATTAATTACTTTCCACATAACTTATATTTTAAATCAAGTTTTTTTTTTAAAGAAATAAGGTATATGGCGGAAGGGAATATTATATATAAACACAACCCTTCAAAATCTTACCCTTAATATACATGGTACCTACTATATTCCTCAAATTAAATACGATTTAAATACATTGCTTTCTCCAACTGCAAAACCTTAATTTATATACTATGAACTTTAAAATGTCTGTACACCATTGTCATTGCTTCGTTTAGACAAGTTTGGTACGCAAGCTTACAGAAGCAAAGATATTAATACTATAAATATTAAATGTTAGTAGTTGGTACACTATTTACATGAGGCTGCAATCCCCCCAATTAGTTGGAGATAGAGAAGTTCATATCCTATCCCTCATCCTACACCAACTGTATCATTTAATTGCCCTTTGATTTGCTTTTCCTCTCCTCTTGCTCCTGTAAAGGATACTGAGAACGTAACTCACCAAGAAGCTCATATAGTCATGGTGGAAGCAACTGTGGCTATTTAACATGAGGTCTTGATTTTTATTTCGTGTAATTGTAAATAGCAAAACCATTTTTAAGAGAGTTTTTTTTTTTTTGAATTAGGATGTAATTCACCCATAGGTAACCGACTAATTTGGAGAGTGAGGGCTCGAAACCGAGACCGGGTAGATAGGTGCGCACCTTGACAACCCTTTACTTAACCATCCGGCTAAGCGAGTTTCCTCTTAAAAGAGTTATCTTTGATTGGACAGGACAATACTAAAATCTATTACTCCAGTCCTTAGTATTAGGTCTAAACTACTTATATATAAATCTCACCCTTAATATAAATTACTCCTCCGGTCCTTAATATAGAACCCAATTATTGAGTTGGGTTTGGTCCTAAATATAAGACTCATTTATCATATTTATTAGTTTTCTTTTAATTACTCTTATAGATACTCTTTCAACCATAATCAAGTAGAAGAGAAAAATAAAGTATTAAGAAAGATGATTATGGTATTTTAGAAAAAACATGTCACATTTCTTATAATTAACTAACTTACCTAACTTCCTTAATCTAATCAAATTAGTTAAATGGGTCTTATATTAAGATTGGAGGAGTATTATATTTCAAAACGAATGTACTCTAGATCCGAATGTTGCATCAAACGTGGAAAACGAGTTTGACTATCCATGATTTAAAAATAATGTGGTTTATTTTAATATATGTGGTCATGCTGATCATTTATTGATTGCATTTCTGCTACGCATCACTCGATTTATAAAATATCATACATTTTTTATTTTTCAATATTTTTTCTTAAATGATCCTGGTATGAATTTATTTTGATTTGTAAAATAAAATTTATTTTTTTAATTAATTTGAATGGCCACGAATTATTAAAAATAATTTTTTTAT